ATCAATTACCCTTCTGTAGTTTCCTAAACAGATAGAAAACTAGATTTAGAAATTGATCCAAGCAGCTATAATATATACTGTCTCTATGATCAGATAAATGATCTGTAAAACCGTGAGAGTGACTGATCCCTCCCTCTCCCCCACACCTTCCCCTTTCATCTTTAACTGTGAGTTGGGTGAAGATTGTTACAGAGCAAATTAATTTTCCATCCAACAATTCGTGCACATTTTGTTTCATGTCATTGTTTGCAATTTCTGCAACAAAGCAAGTGACTGCTGCTTTTGAAAAATACTTGAATTTTCTGAGATTTGACCTATGATTACAGAATTTTACAGAAAATTTACAGAAAATTCAAATTTTCTTGGGGGGCATTTCTCATATTTCTCAATTTCAGGCTTTTCACAGCATGTTCCAATGTTCCAAAGTAAGTAAACAAACAAACAAACAAACAAAACCCCAATCCAGTTAATATGGAGATTTCCCCTCCTAGTGACCTCATGGGAGTCAGAGTAGCGGGCTCCACAGAATTTTCAGGAGAGAAGTCTTTGGGGCTTCAAAACCAAACAATAGTTTAGCTTAACAAGTAAAGAAGATCTGTCTTCAGCACTGTGCTTTTTAAAGAACTATCTATGGACTAACAAAAGAGCCCAGTGGTCTAGTGGGTTACCAATTGGTCTGCTACCTGGAAGGTCAACAGTTCAAACCCAGTAGCCGCTCTGAGGCTTTCTGCTCCCATAGATTTATAGCCTCAGAAACCCAAAGGCACCATTCTATTCTGTCTTCTAGAATTTCCGTAAGTTAGAATTAACTTGATTTGGTTTATAGTGGATCAAATTGACAAAAACAATAGGGGGCAGTGAATTTATGCTAACTGGGAGTTACAACTCAACAAAGGAAGAAGAAGAAGAAGTCTGCACAATCGCACGCACTGTCACTAAGTGGTGCATGTAGACACTGCTGAGCTGGTGGTGTATTTGTTATGTTGCTGCGCATATGTATTCTAAACCACAAAATACACAAAATTGCAAACAATTGAACCAAGGCGGTGACTTGAAGTGCTATGTTTAGTTCAGCGTTTAAAGGTTAGTTCACGTCAATCGTTTCGTAGGTTTTCATCCAGTAGTCATGACCCCAAGCAGTCTGGATTCTGCATTTGCGCTTTCTTAATTTCTTTTAAAATGTATGAGTTTATTGGACACAGTGCTGCGAACAATGACTCATATCTTGGATACATGATTTCATTCATTCCTCTTTAAAAACCCTTTGTTGTTGTTGTTGTTGTTAGATGCCCACAAGTCAATTTGGGTTCACATTGCCTCCACGAGCAGAGGAGAATTGTTTCATAGGGTTTTGTTGGCTACGGTGTTTATGGAGAGGAGCCTCAGTAGCGGAGCATGTCTGCTAGTTTAAAGCTCTGTGCCTCAAACTCACCAGCGGTTCCTTGGGAGAAATATGGAAAGCTTATAGGCTCAGAATCCTTATGGGCCAGTTCTACTTGTTCACAAGGGTTGCTCTGAATCAGAATCTACACAACAGCATGTAACAATAGCAATCTTTCCGGGAGCAGATTGCCAAAATTTCCTCAGAGACCTCCTAGTAGGTTGGAACTACCAACCTTTAGGGTTAGCAGTTGAGTGCTTAGCTATCGTGCCACTAAGATCCCTTATTCATTTCTTTGTTGCATATATATAATGATTTACATGGAGCATTATTGCAGGAACACACATATAATAGCTATATAAATGAATAGTCTTCTGTCAGGAATCTGTTCTCAGAGTGTTTTCTTAAAAGGAGTGTGATTTTGCAAACTGTGGATGTTACTGAAATAGCCCACAGTGCTGGAAAACACAACTGAGACAACGCTGAAGTTTTCCTAAAGAATTAGAGGCAAGCAGAAGACTAATCAAAGAAATGTTATTTTAAGATGGGTATGATGACTGTGTCTTTATGATCAGGTTAACAAGAAGACATTTCACACACACTATTTTTAACTTCAGCACACCGCCAATTAAGAGAACTGTGAGAAACTGCCAAAAGTCTCTCATTTTCAAACAATTAAAAAAATATAACACTTCACCATTTATAATGAGAGTGGTTTTGGTCCCTCACTGTGGCATTTCATAGCTTCTGTACTGTGGTGCTGCGGAGTAAGTGCTGGGCTGCTAACGGAAAGGGCTGGGATTAAACTCACCAGCACTTCCAGGGAGAAAACTGAGCCTGGCTACTGCTGTGGCGATTTCAAAGCCTCAGACACTCGGCAGTCTCACTATGAACCAGAACTGACTGCATGGCAGTGGGTTGGCTTTGGGATAGTATCAATGAAAATTTCCTGGTCAGTCATAGGTTCTTGACCTGGGCCTGTCTGTAATTGCATGCAATGGTTTCTGTGTATGTTTATGGAACATTTTCTTGAAGCAAATTTCTTGATTGTTAATGGTACAAAAAGAGCTCAAACCAAAACAGCTTTCAATGTGAAAATGCCCTTTTATAGAGCAGGTAACTCATCAGTTGTGCTGTGTCCATCTTTCTACAGCTGTGACTTTCCTCTATGCTGAGGGCCACTTTCCTTTCAAAGGCTCCTTGACATGTTGCTGCTGCGTCCTTAGAAATCACACTTATTTTCCTTAACTTTTATTCATATCATCAAATTCTGTCATCATAGCTCTCCTTTACGCCATATGGCTTGTGGGCTCAAAACGGATTATGTTGATAAGCATATGCTTAATAATAAAATAGGAAGAACTTTGAATCAGGTGTTGCATATGTTATCCTTTTAAATCCTTGAAACCACCTATAAGTTGACATTATTTTTGTTCTCTTGCTTTCTCCTCTCTCATGTAAATAGAACCTTTGGTATGAATCCAAATGGACAAATTTATTACATCAGAAATACATATACCTATAGTTTATTCCTTCTATTTCAAAGCATAGTTTCTAAGGAAGCTAAGGAGAAGCAATCATGTCAGTCACCCCTATTAAACAGTGACCCTCTTGAAGAGAAACTTACTAAGTCTTCTTCATGTTTGTATCTCTAGAACGGAGGGAGCACATAGGAGACACTCGATAAAATTGTTTGAATAAGTCAATTGATTGTATACCTAATATATTCCAGGCATTGGACTTTGGGAGGCAAATAACATTCTTCCCATTTTATAATTAAGGACATTGAGTCTCAGGAAGATAGAAACTTGCACAAGATCATGAACTGTAAGTGGCACACCGGTAGTTAAAGGCCCATGTTATTAGAATTCTAAAATTCTTCATTCTGCTACCCATACCAATGGCATGAGTTCTTTAAACATTAAAAGAAATCTGATTAATCCATCACAAGGATCAACCTGTATAACCTCTTCCCAGGGAGACAAACAACGGAAAGGTGGGTGAGGGGCGATGGAGGACGATGTAAGATATGAAAATAATAATCTATCAAGGGTTCGTGAGGGAGGGTGTGAGGGGAAGGTAGCAGGAAGAAATGAGAAGCTGATATCAGGGGCTCCAGTGGGAAGAGGATGTTTTGAAAATGATGATGGCAGCATATGTGCAAATGTGCTTGACACACTGGATGAATGTATGGATTGGGATAAGAGATGTAAGAGCCCCCAATAAAAGTGTTTAATAATAATAAGAAAGCTGATTCTGTAACCCTTATTTAAATACTTTGGGCAGCATTAGAAGAATAATGAAATGTAAATTTCAACTAAGAAAATGTTCCCTTCCCTACTCCTCTCTCCTGTCAGTTTGCCAATCTGATGAATTTGTGATGTCAGGATGGCACTTTTTACAAAAAGTAATCTAAGATTAAGCTGGGTGGTCAACCAAAACAGATTCCAGTGTTGTTGCTAGTTGCTGTCCAGTTGTCTTCCACTCATGGTGGCCCTACGTAAACTAGAGCAAGTCACTGCCTGACCCTTCACTAGCCTCACAGTCTGGCATGTATGAGTCCATTTTTCTACTTTAACAAAGAGGATGTCCTTTTCCCAGGATTGATCTTTTCTAATCATGTGCCCAAAGTAGTAACTGACAATATTATTAGTACATGTTGGTTACCCACAACACAGTTCAGATCACCAAATTTTCATTCTCAAATAGTAAATGACCTAATGATGCACACAAGAAATAAAAATATGCATTGTAGATGTTTTCACACACATTTCTATATGTTTAATATATCCTCAGATGATATTTTATTATTATGAAAAATTTCATATCAGAAAAGACTTAAAAGCTCTAGCTTTATTATATCCAAATTTTCATAAAATTAAAACAATTATCTTAGTAACAAGCACATTCATGTGTATTGTTCTCATTCATTTCAAAATTAGCTAAAATTGCTATTTTTAAAGAACTGATTTTAGCCAATTATAGTTTTAATTGTTGACATTTAAAAAGATGGAACATTTTGTAAATTTGCTTAGAACAAAAGGATTTATGTGGATTAGTGTATGCAACAGCCAGGATAAAACTAAGCTCATACATAGTATCCTAAATATTATTTTTAAGGTGACCCTGAGCAGTGTTTCAGGATAGCTAGTGTCATTAGCTGCCATGGAGTGAGCCTCAAGCTCCTAGCAACCCCATGTAAAATAGCACAAAGCATTGCTGGATCCATTACCATTCCTATCAGAGTGGTAAGCAGTCTCAATTTTATCCTTTAAACTTTTTCATGCTAATTTGAATCATATATTTATGTACATATACAAACACACACACCTGAGGATTTCAAAAATTCTGTGGAAAATAGAACTAAAAGATAATGGAACTTTTTTTTTTTTTTTATAATAATGGAACTTTTCCAGAGACTTGTTACAGCCCAATTATGCACACATGTATTACAGTTAAAGCAAGCAGAATTAGAATCATATTATCTGAGCTCCCAGAAGAGAAGGGAAAGTTTAATCCCAACAGAAACGTGGAGCTGCCTTATCGCATTACATCACTATGAAATACATTTTATATGAAGCAGAAGCGTCTGATTTAATGTTAATATCTATATACTTACCTGGTATTCTGGCCGCTTAACTAATAAAAAACCTTCAAAGTACAAGGGTAGAGCAGTAATCTTTAACCTTTCCTGGAAGATCCTGCGAGGGGCCGGCTTAGGGGGCTTCTTATCCATCATAACCTCTCTTTGGTACGTAGTTTGATGTCACTGTATGCAGTGTCAAACAAAGTGAGCTCTCCCTGAGTTAGGGGAAAAGGCAACTGTGCAAAGAGGAAGTCCAAACTTGCTTTTTAACCACCACCACCACCACCAGGCCTCACAGGACACACACACACACACACACACACACACACACATACTTCCTTTCCTTTCCTTTTTGAGATGAGAAAGAACACCGATTTTTTAGAGGACAATCTGAGTGAACTACATGTACTTGGATTGAGTTACATTAGCAAAATAAACAGAAGATTACGATCACCCCAGGATGAAAGAAACAGACAGGTGCAGAGCATGTGGACCTGAGGGGAGAGATGGAGGACAAGCTATATTTTTCCACCTGCTTTTTGTTTGCTTATTACGATTCACTTTTATTCCCAGAAAACATGACTTGAATAAACTCCACTTCATTAAACATTGCTTTGTGGGATAATCTTATTAGCTCTATTTCTGTTGCCTAAATATTTCAGGCCCAAACTCAAAGGGATCAAATCTATTTTGACTCATGGTGACCCCATAGGGTTTCTGAAACAAACTCTTTGTGGGAGTAGAAAGCCTCATCTTTCTCCTGTGGAGTGGCTGGCAGTTTTGAACTGCAGCCTTGTGGTTAGCAGTCCATTGAGTAACCCACGACTGTACCAGGACTCCTTATATTTCAGGACCAAGCTTTGCTTGAATCAATCAATCAATCAATCAATTGATCGATCAACCAACCAAACAACCAATCAAGCTAAGATTCAACTGATTCTATGTGATTTTGATGGCCCACTAAATGTAAACCACATATAGATATGAGAGCATTAACATTTTTCATTTTTTTTATGAATAGGTGCTTTGAGTAGATTGGTTACTAGTGGGTATTTAGCAAAGACTTGTCAGAGGGAGTTATAGATTTCCCTGTTTTTATTATCTGAGCGGTGGAACTCTGACAGTTTGTTGCATAGGTGGGATCCCCACAGTGATCTAGTGAGATATCTGGGTCCAAAATATATTAAATATTTGAGAACTGGTCCTTGAGAGACTGGTATGGCCTAGTACAAGGACTGATGTGAGATGCGAACATTGAGCAGAGTTATTTTTGTCTCACGGGAGACCTGAGTGTCTACTAGTGGCTGTTTCACTGCAAAGCAGTGGACTGCTAACCTCAAGTGCAGCAGTTCTAACCCACTAGTTACTCCATGGGTAAAAGACCTGTCAATGTGCTGCCATAAAGATTTTATTTTAATATATATGGTTTATTATGCGTTTAATTGATCTGAAGGATATTTAACATGTGGTTTACAGTAGTATTATTTTTAAATAAAAACATATAACTATTTTATTTCCCATTTCCCTTCACTTTTTTTATAACAGTTTTATGGGCACATAATTTACATATCAACAATTCAGTAGTTCAATAGTTCAATCATATTAAGGAGAATGATGCAATCATTACCATATCAATTTTAGAATTGACCCCCCCATGGTTAAATCACTTTTAAAATGAGTTGTGCAATCACAGTCAGTTCAAGTGCTCCCTCCCCACTCCTGTCTTCACTTTTTATTCCTGAAATCCCCTTTCCCTCCTTATCACTCACCCCCCACCCCCCCGCATCCCTATCAACCCTCTATCAGTTATTATCATTATGTATCCACTCCTCCTGTGCATCAATAAAAAACAAAATCTAAATAAAGTGATAAGGATAAAATAATAATAATATAAAGACCAAGATAAAAATAATGAGTAAGAAAGAAAGAAAGAAAAAACCCCCATCAACATTCAAAAAGCCAGGGAAGATATTTCTGTCATGGAACAAGTAAGAAATACTTGCATCCAGAACCAACTCAGGTTGGGTGCATAGGGAGGTTGTCTGGCCACATGTCGAGTTCGATCAAGCATAATCAGGATTACAATGGTCTCTCCCTGATAGTAAGGCTGTTTGAGACTTTTGTCTATGGCTACAGCAGATCTGCCAGTGGCTCAGTTTGACTAGATACTCTGGGGATGGTTTTTGGGCTCCCATAGCCTTCTACAAATTGGGTATTGATAATTTTAGCTCTGATACTTTCCCTTCACCATATTCAAATTTTGTAATTGTCATCTTTGGATCACACAGGTTGATATGCTTCTTCCATGTGGGCTTTGTTGACTCCTTACTCAGATTGCTGCTTGTCCGACTAAAAGCCTTTAAGATCCCAGACATTCTTCAGATTGATAGCTGGGCACCATCTGCTTGCTTCACCACACTTTGCTATAGCACCCTTATCTTCAGTAATCATTTCATGAGCTGGGCCATGATGTGAGAACTGATTGTTCTTAAGTTGGGGATAGGATTTAAAGGAAGCCCCAAACCCATTCCAAGGTTCAATGACCTCCAGTTCCATAATCCTTGGGTGGCCACTCTGTTTCCTCTCCCATCCAAGTACCCAGCCCTCAGTCCAAGGGTGCAGGCAGCTTCAAGGTAAGGTTCAGTTCATTCAGGGAGGCCTCTATGTTAAATCCTTCTGGGATGGATCTTCTTCTTGCCATCAGTAGCTTTTAGCAGACATTTGCTGTCAGAAGACGCAAAGCTCAAACCTTTTCTTGGAATGGGTTTTGTTCGACCATCACCTGCTTGCTCTCCAGCAGCACCATTCCAGGACTAGGTGCTCTGCTCCATCAGCATAAACTCCCGGGTGTTCCCATAAAGAGTTACAGTTTTGGGAACCCTGTGGAGCAATTCTATTCTCTCCTACAAGGTTGCTATGTGGCAGAATTGACTAATGGTAATGGGTTGGGATTTGGTATAGCCCTGAGCATTCTCCCCATTTAACCTGTCTATTCCCCCAAATCAAAGCAAGTCAGAAATCGCAAATCTAATCTTTTCCTACTGAAGAAACGGCATGGCTTATCTCATCAGTGTGGGTCCCCCTGAAATGAAAGCTGTGGATATTGGGAGTCAAGTTGTCAAGTAAAGAAACAGCCATGTACACTATCAGTAAACTAGAGAAGAATGACTGGGTGTATTATGGATTTCTTTTTTGGATTTTTAAATATTTACAAGTTGTTGGTTTGAAATATGACTTGAGAGATGAAGTAAAGGGTCAGCGGTTCCCAGGAACTAGATAAGAGAAAAAGACCGATGAATTAGAAGAGGCAGGGAACTATTGCCATTGGTCTAGTCTGGATAAATTGAAAGAGTCTAGGTGTGAAGTTATCATGCATTTTCAGGTTAAGCAAATGTTCTAGTGAGAAACAGTTTCTAGTGTTGGTGGTGTTAGTGCCACTGTGTCAGTTCTGACCCACAACTACTCTATGCACAACAAAGCACTGCACAATCCTGCGCCATCCTCCCAGTTGTTCCTCCACCTCAGCCCATTGATACAGCCACTGCGTCAGTCCATCTTGTGGAGGCCCTTGCTACTTTTTGCTGGCCTTCCCCTTTACCAAACATGATGCCAGGGAACGGTCTCTCCTGACAATACGTTCAAAGTATGGAAGACAGAGTCTTGCCATCCTTGTCTCTAAGGAGCACTCTGGAAGTACTTCTTCCAAGACAGATTGGTTTGTCCTTTTAGCAGTCCACGGTACTTTCAATATTCTTCTCCAGCACTGCAATCCAAATGCATCGATTCGTCTTCATTCTTCCTTAATCAATGTCCAACGTTCACATGCTTATGAGGCAATGGAGAATATCATGACTTGGTTTTTAAGAAGTGGGCTGAATGAAAAAATAGAAAACTTTTCTGATTTGATAAATGGCCTAATCTACCTTCTTCGTACCTGGGAACTGGTATATTAGAGGGAGGAAGTGAAAGCGGGGATGCAAAATGAAAAGGGAAAAGTGAGAAGGAAGTGAGAGAGAGGATGCTCAGTAATCCATGGTTAGAATATGAGACAGTAAGTGACTGGCTGAGGAGCCCTCGTGGCATAACAAGTTACACTCTGGGCTGCTAACCACAAGGTCAGCAGCTGGAAACCACCAGCCACTCCCCAGAAGAAAGATGAAGCTTTCTACTCCTGTAAAGAGTTATGGATCAAGAACTCACAGGGGCAGTTCTATCCTCTTCCTAGGGTGACTACGAGTCATCGTTGAGTTGATGGCATTGCATTTGGCTTGAGTCACTGGATGTAAATCTTTATGAAAGTGAACTCCCTCACCTCTTGCCTGTGGAGCAACGAGGGGGTTTGAACTGTAATGCAATCCTTAGTCTGTGCCATAGTGTGCCACAAGAGTTCATTAAACATTTTTTTTACCCGAACCAACGTTACTACCATTGAGCCCGTTCCAACTTGTGTGGTTGTTAGGTGCCTTCCAGTTGACTCTGACACATATGACCCTGTGTACAACGGAATGAAACACTGTCCAGTCCAGCAGCATGTTCACAATTGTTACATTTGCACCTTTTGTTGCAGCCACTGCGTCAGTCCACCTCAAAGGGTCTTCCTCATTTTTGCTGATCTTCTACTTGACCAAGCACGCTGTCCTGTTCCAGAGCCTGCTCTCTCCTGGTAGCGTGTCCACACTACACGAGATGAAGTCTTCCCACTCTTGCATCTAAGGGCATTCTATCTATACTTATTCCAAAGCACATTTGTTCTTCTAGCAGTCCATGGCACTTTTTCTTTAAAGATTTTAGTTTTCGTTCTTTATTTTTTTTTAAATCATTTTATTGGGGGCTCATACAACTCATTACAATCCATACATCCATCCATTGTGTCAAGCACTTTTGTACATTTGTGTCCCTCATCATTCTCAAAACATTTGCTTTTTACTTGAGCCCTTGGTATCAGCTCCTCATTTTTCCCCTCCCTCCCCAGTCCCTTCTTCCCCATGAACCCTTGATAATTTATAAATTATTATTCTGTCATATTTTACACCATCTGACATCTCCCTTCACCCTCTTCTCCGCTGTCCATCCCACAGGGAGGAGGTTATATGTAGATCCTTGTAATCCATTCCTCCTTTCTCCCTCACCTTCCTTCCACCCGCCCAGTATTG